CTATACCAGACATGTCAAACACAAGGCCCGGGGGCCGGATGCGGCCCGCGAAGTGGTTTCATGTGGCCCGCAAAGCCATCCTGGAAACAGTGAGGGAACGGCCCCCGCTGCCTTGGCCCTGGCCCAGGCCCAGGCCAGCCGGGAGCAAATGTACAATTTTGTGATGGCCATCTTGACACTTGCCCCGGTCCCACCCCCTTCTGCCAGAGACCCTCAGATCTGTCCCACTCCTGCCCAGGCCCCAGGCACCCTTGATGCGAATGTAGAACTGGCCATGGCCACCCAGTAGGCCACACCCACTCCATCCATGCCCACCCAGTAGGCTGCGCCTACTTCTGGCCACACCCACCCGGCCCGCCAAGGACAACCGCAATGCTGATGCGGCCCTCAGTGAAATTGAGTTTGACACCCCTGCCCTATACCATTTTTTATTATTATATTATATGTTGGGTTTTCTCACTTCCTTCACATATACAGTAAAAAAAAACAAGTTACTGAAATATGGGCACAGTCTGCTGCTTGATTATGGCTTCATGTGTTAGGTGAATTCGTTATGGTTTGTTCAATAAACTGGTTTAGTGTAACGTATAAGCCCACTCTAATAATAATAATAATGGTAAAGTTGGAAGGGACCTTGGAGGTCATCTAGTCCAACCCCCTGCTCAGGCAGGAAACCCTATACCATTTCAGACAAATGGCTGTCCAGTCTCTTCTTAAAAGCCTCCAGTGTTGGAGCGTCAACAACGTCTGAAGGCAGGTTGCTCCACTGATTAATTGTTCTCACTGTCAGGAAGTTTCTCATTAGTTCTAGGTTGCTTCTCTCCTTGATTAGTTTCCATCCGTTGCTTCTTGTCCTGCCTTCAGGAGCTTTGGAAAATAGCTTGACTCCCTCTTCTCTGTGGCAGCCCCTGAGATATTGGAACACTGCTATCATGTCCCCCCTCGTCCTTCTCTTCATTAAACTAGACATACCCAATTCCTTAGTTACAGCATTTTTTTTTTTTAAAAAAATCTGATCTTAGTTACCCGAGATGTCTGGGCTGATGGTAGGGGGATACAGGTAGTCCTCGACTTGCAACAGTTCATTTAGTGACCATTCAAAGTTACAATGGCACTGAAAAAAGTGACTTATGGCCGTTTATCACAGTTAAGACCTTTGCAGCATCCCCGTGATCATGTGATTAAGATTCAGACACTTGTCCACTGGATTATATTTATGGCTGTTGCAGTGTCCTGGGGTCATGTGATCCCCTTTTGCGACCTTCTTTTGCAACTAAGCAAAATCAGTGGGGAAGCCAGGTTCATTTATTAACCGGGCTAGTAACTTATCAACTGCAGTGATTCACTTAACAACTGTGGCAAGAAAAGTTGTAAAATGGGTCAAAACTCACTTAATAAATGTCTCACTTAACAACAGAAATGTTGGGCTCAATTGTGGCTTTAAGTTGAGGACTACCTGTATTATATATTTGAAATATTTAATTACACACATAGTAATACCATGATTCTATCCAGCAGTGTTAATTCACCTATGAATCTGAAGGAGACTATTTCAAAATATGTAATTTCATGTAGAAACTGGATTGTTTCTACTTCCTGGTCTGCCTCCTTCCCCTTTCTTCGATCACATGATTTCTGAGAACCATTTCTGGGTTCACATAAGGGTAGAACAAATAAAGGTGCACTTTGTGCCTGTCTTACAGCAAGTGGAATGTTTAGCAGCTCAGATGCGACCTTTGGATTAAACTCTAATTTGTATATGACTAGTTTCCTTTCCGACTCTTGGTGACTTTATAGGCAAGTCTCTCCATGCTACCCTGACAAGAACAGCTTCTTTCAATTGTTAGATGTTCATCTTTATACCAGTTTTGATGTTATCAATCCAGGGTGTTCTTTGCTTGCCCCTTCTTCTTGTTTCACTAACCATTCTTAGCATCATTGCCTTCTCCAATGGATTTGCATGCGTAACATGGCCAAAATAAATCAAACATAGTCTTATGATTTTGGCTTCTAGTAATATTTCTGGTTTTAAATGATTTAGCACCTCTCTGTTGGTGCTTTTGCTGTCCATAGTGTACATAATAATTTATGCCACACTACAGTTCAGACATGATCTCAGAACCACTGAACTATATCTTTCAAAGATCCTGGAATACCGGAGAACTACCAGAGGACTGGAAAAGAGCTGATGTACTCTAGTTCCCATCTTCAAACAAGAAAAAAAAAATGGATCCGGGAAACTACAGACCTATCAGCCTGACCTCAATACCTGGGAAGATTCTGGAAAAGATAATCAATCAATGAATCAGTGAACACCTAGAGCCAAACAAAATCATAAGCAAAAGCCAACATGGGTTTGACAAAAACAGATCATGCCAGACAAATCGTATTGCATTCTTTGACAAGGTGAGTTCAACGGCATCAATTACTCTTTGATCAGCTGTTCTTAGTGTCCAACTCTCACACATTATAGCAGAGGTGTCAAACTGCCGGCCCACGGGCCGGTTTCATCATACTGAAGCCGCGCCCACCCCATTGCCGGCAATGGCAAAACCAGCCCGATACATTGCGCGACGTCACGTGACGTCGCAAGTTTGACACCCCTGCATTATAGGGTGGTCTGAAATGGTAAAATGGCCACCCTTTATTCACAGTGGAATACAACATCATTGCCACCTTGCCACCATTTTTTCATCATTTTGACTTTCCAGAGAAAATTCACAAAGGAGAAAAAAAGAATACACGAATCTGGCAAGAGCTGAGTCCCAATGGTTTTTGTGTAGCTTTTATTCTTTTTATTCTGGAAATCAGGTACAGTACACATTCTGGATTCTATATCAATAAAATAAGCTAATGTAAAAATTTGACAACTAGCCATGGAAGGGCTCATCCCCCACCCACCCCCAGCTGAAGTTAACTTAAAGGAGAACAATAAAAACCATCTGGCATATATAGAGGAACAGGAGTGCCTTTGACTTGTATACAATAAAAAAGCTTATTACTTCACAGGGCCTTGTGCATCACTCAGGTTCAAAGGTGTGGCTCTGCAAAGGTGTTGCTAGATATATGATTGTTTTAAGGTGAGGTGGAGAATAGCTGTGGAAAAGAGCCAGACTGAAAATGTTTCTCAGACTGAATTGGAAGAAATGGGCATTTTCTTGGCTTCCTTTCCCAACTCATCTTCCAAGCTTTTCTGATGTCCTGCACGTTCACCACTGGCATATGTTTAAAGCTTTAGGATGGGCAGGCATTTCTTTTTTTCTGATGAGCCAAGGGGATACAGGACAGAGACAAATATTTTTACCCAAAGAAATGCTAGTTGCAATTCAGTCCAATCTAAATTAGGAAGCAGTGATGAGCTTCTGGGCTGAAAGCTGATTGAGGTCCAGGTTTTTAACAGAATAACAGAGCTGGAAGGGACTTTGGAGGTCTTCTAGTCCAACCCTCCTGCTCAAGCAGAAGACCCTATACCATTTCAGACAAATGGCTGTCCAATCCCTTCGTAAAAACCTCCCATGTTGGAACACCTACAACTTCTGGAGGCAAGTTGTTCCACTGATTAATTAATACAACAATTCGTTTAGTGACCATTTGAAGTTACAACGGCACCAGGAAAAGTGGCTTCTGACCATTTTTCACACTTACAGCGTTTGCAGCATGCCCATGGCCACCTGATCAAAATTCAGACACTTGGCAACTGACTCATATTTATGATGGTTGCAGTGTCCCAGGATCCTGTGATCCCCTTTCTGACAAGTGAAGTCAATGGGGAAACCAGATTCACTTAACAGCTTTGTGATTAACTGAACAGCTGCCATAACTATGTTACTTCACTTAACAATTGAGGCAAGAAAGATTGTAAAATCACTTAATAACTGTCTCACTTAGTAACAGTTGTGGTCATATGTCAACGACTTCCTGTAGTAACAGTCAAGGCAAATTGGTGGTATATAATAGTCAACGGAATTCAAGGAGGGCTGCACTTAGATCAATTTGTGGGCATAAAGGGACTCCAAACTGATAACGCACTTGACCCCTCCCTCGAGCTTTATTATTATTTAGCGTATGATGAGAACATGACAGAAGAGAAGTAAACATATATACACAGTCTACGTAATTATAAGTAAAAGTTCTATGGGGGGGGGATTGCAGTGGCCTCATAACTGGATGTCCAATTCAGCTATCCAGGCGATCACCTCTGGCATTGCTTTGTACAGATCTTCAGAGAACGCACATCATGGGCAATCTTGCACAATATGATCAATACGTTTGACTATAAGCACCACAATCGCAACAAGAGGAATCTTTCCATCCCCACTGATACAGGGCAGAGGCACTTCTTCCACTATCACATCTAATTCTGTTCAATTTTGACCAGACAAAGTGAGGGAGTTCAGAACCAGGTGGTTTGGCAGAGGGAATCACTAATGAGGGATCACAAAAAGATACCTTGGACTATTCCTCTCTCCAGGCACTCTTGGGGTTAAACTGATGTTAAGTGAATAGCTGTTTTCCATGCTGGTCTATTGGATTTCCATGCTGGCCTATTGGATTTCAATCTTGTGATGGGCTGCGCATTATCCTGGTGAACAGGGAGGGTCTAGTTCAGTGGTTCTCAACCTTTTTAATGCCGCGACTCCAACCGGTCGTAAGTCGAGGACTAAACTGGTCGTAAGTCGAGTACTAAACCGGTCGTAAGTCGAGGACTAAACCGGTCGTAAGTCGAGGACTAACCAGCCGGTCGTAAGTCGAGGACTTTCCCTGCCCGGGAGTGCCGCACATGCGTGGTTCTGCCCCTGCGCCGGCTGAGGCGTAGCTGGCAAGCGGCAGAGACGGAGCAGGCCGACCACCAGCTGGCCCAGCCCAAGGGAGGTAAGGCACCCGCCGGAAAAGGGGGGGAAAATGGCGGACAAAAAAAATGGCGGACAGCCTTGCTTGGCGACCCCCATGAAATGGTTGATCGACCCCAAATGGGGTCCCGACCCACAGGTTGAGAACCACTGGTCTAGTTGTTCAGCATCCTTGACCATAGCTGAATGAGAGCTTGTTGTCTTGTATTGTAAGGATGTATGATACTACTAAGTACTAATAACCAGTGTACTCTCTCTTGGGCGCAGCCTGATCATCTCCTACATGAACCTTAATTATTATTTTTTTCACATGGAAGATGCATTTCAGTGATCAATGTCTGCATCTTGACCAAACAGTAACAAATGAGCTCGATAGCTAATTCTAATGGCTTTCCCCCAAAGTTTTCCATCCTATACACTTAAAATGTTGTCCCCAAAGAGAGTTTGAACACTTAGCTCTGGACAACAGTCTCACACATTAGTCTGGTTTATTAAATAAGGCACAATTTGCTGAGTAAAAACCACATGCTGACATAGTATAAATTACAACCTGCAAACCACAATGCAAATCACAAAACGCTAAGCCCAAAGCAAACAAGCCCTGTGGGAATCCTGCTGGTAGTGAGAATCGAGCTTCTATGAGGCAGAACTTTGCAGAAGATCTACTGAGGTCCTAAGGAGCTGGGCGTGAATCCATCCTTCTTCAAGTTTCCTGCTTCTCTCTGACCAACCTAGCAGAAAATGACAGGGATTATATTGGGAAATTACTCACTTTTATTACCCAGCCACCCAATCTCTGCAGATAGTAAGTATTTGCAAACCTACCTAGAAAATCCCTAACTGCTTCCTCCTTTTGATATCTCTCTTGAGCTGGCAAAGGTTACAGGGACCGCAGAAAGTGACTGTGAGGCAGTCTGAGCAGATCGTTCCCTGAGGAGCAAAAAAAAAAAAAAAAAGCGAGAGAGAGAGATAAATCACAATCTGGAGTCAGTCCAGTCCTGTATTTTGAACTATGGTTTACAGTACACAATGAAAACAACCCAAAAGTTGGCTCTGAGCAGTATTTCTCTGGATATTTCTGTCTTCCCTGTCATATTCTTAGGTGTGACTGACGCTTGTTTCTCTGGGAAACCCACAAAAGACACAGTCCAGCCTCATTAAACTGGGCAGAACGTAAGGCAAAGGAGCAGATATGGGATATAATAGATACTTTGGAACAGGTTTCGAATCAACACTGCAGAAAGCAACACCTAACAAATCTTGGCAGATAGCAGAAAGGCTGAGTAGACCTGGATTAGGTTGGCTGAAGATTGGTTGAGGAAGCCCAAATAACATCGCAGAAGTCTTGGACATTTAACAGAATAACAGAGTTGGAAGAGACATTGGAAGTCTTCTAGTCCAACCCCCTGCTCAGGCAGGAAACCCTATACCATTTCAGACAAATAGTTGTCCAATCTCTTCTTAAAAACTTCCAGTGTTGGACACCCACAATTTCTGGAGGCAAGTTGTTCCACTGATTAATTGTTCTCACTGTCAGGAAATTTCTCCTTAGTTCAAGGTTTCTTCTCTCCCTGATTAGTTTCCATCCATTGCTTCTTGTCCTACCTTCAGGTGCTTTGGAGACTAGATTGACTCCCTCTTCTTTGTGGCAGCTCCTTAGATTTTGGAAGATTGATATCATGTCACCCTAGTCCTACTTGTCATTTGGATAATTCCCAGTTGAGTTTCCCCCCAGTATTCTCTCAGTTAATTCCTACATGCAGATCACAGCAAGTGCACACCCCACTCAGATCAGCTAGCAAAAATTATTGCTAGATATATATTTATTAAACACGAGCAAACATCTCAAAGACTTTGTTAATGTGAGGCAAAATTCAAAAGCAGGGAAAGAGACATGAACTATGAAGAGATTAACAGGTCAAAGTACTTGATATGTTATCAGATAATAAATAACTATTAAAACATAGTTCCAAAGGGAGTGGCCTTTTGTTATTCTAGCTTTGATCCTTTGTGTAGTAGGAGCAAAACAGAGATGGAAAATAGGACACCAGGCGATCCCTCCTTCATCCTGCACTTTGTAAAGGAAATAATTTGGTGGATGTCCAACAAGAAGGAAATAGGAAACCAGTTACATGTTGCTATCAAAAGAATCCAACAATTTTTTTTTAGAAGTACATGAGATCTCCAGAAGTCAAACTCAGTTCAAGGGAGATTATATGTTCATATTCCAAAATGCATGTAAAACATTACATTGGGTGGAGCATGCTGTGCCTACGCCTACGGCAGGAACAATCACCAGTGGCATGACTGTGGCTTTTGTACACCTGAAACTAAGAACTTTGAAAAATATAGTGAAATAAATAGGTGCCTCTCTCTTACAGTGGAACCATTTTGTAGTGTCTCGTGGTAGACACACTGTGTTTTCCCGAAAATAAGACCTACCCCAAAAATAAGCTCTACCTTGACTTTTACACGTGTGCCCAATATATACCCTACCCTAAAAATAAGTGCTACTTAAGACCCCGCCCACTCCAATGCACCTGGTTGCATGAGGTGGGCCGAGGCGCAAAGGTAAAATCAAACTAGGGCGGGCATGGAGGGGTGGAGCTGCCCCACATGCCCTGCACCCACTTATCTTAGGACAGTTGCAGCTAGGCCTCCCACACCCTGAGACCTGCCTCGCCTCACAAGCCCACTTCTTCTGCACCACTCACCACTGCTCACGTGCGTCGGCCCTGGCCTCCATTTTGCTGGCAAAGGCCTTCAGGAAAGGCCTCTGCAGCCAAGAAACAAGCTCTGGATTGACGCGCACAGCACCCCCCAGCCTCCATTTCACCGTCAGAGGCTTCAGGAAAGGCCTCTGCGGCCGAGAAACGAGCTTCGGACTGATGCGCGCGATGTCCCCCGACCTCCATTTTGCTGTGAGAGACCTTTCCTGAAAGCCTCCACCAGTAAAACAGAAGCCGGGAGTGACACACCCGAGCGGCAGTGACTGGCCGCAGAAAAAGTGGGCTGGCGAGGCAAGGTAGGTGTCGGGGCCTAGGAGGCCTGGCTGTGGTGGTCCTAAGGTAAGCAGGTAAGACATTCCCTGAAAATAAGACCTGGTGCCTCTTTTGGAGGCAAAAAAAAATAAATAAGACCGGCTCTTATTTTCGGGGAAACATGGTAGTTAATTTCTTGTCAGAGTGAGGTTGGAGGGCACAGAAAACTGGGACACTTTGTTCTTCAATTCTACAAAGCCAAACAAGAGAGGACCAGTCTTAGCTTCTTGTTCATGCTGTTGGTCTCAGTTCCTGTGGGGTTCTATGGAGCATTCTTTAGCCATGGTCTGTGATAGGGACAGTGAAAGGACTTCTAACAAGACATCTTCCCCCTTCTTAATACATCTCTAACCATCCCACTGTAGAGTTGTCCTGTTCTGTAAACACTAGTCGAGGAGCTTGGTTGTTTTCTTGCAGATGTTTCATAAGCCAAACTAGGTAACATCATCAGTGGTTGGGTAACGAAATATCTACAAGAAAACCACCAAGCTCAGAGAGCACCAAGGACCCCAAATTTCAACTCTGAGCTTCAAATATTTCCCTTTATTGGTACCAGTCTAAGAGTATTGACTGCCCAGGCCATCCTCCTTAGGCTTTAAAGAAATTTGAGCACTAGGCTATCAATTGGTTCCGTCTTTAGCACTTCCCATATGTCAACCACAGTAACCTTTTCTCACTGTATATAATTTTCATAAAAGTAGCCACAGGGATATTTTACAATCTAGGAACCAAGTGGCACCTTAAAGATGAATAAATGTCTCATTAAGTAAGCTACTATGGATCAAAATACACTTCATTGTATGGACAATGATTTGCACAAATATAAGCATGAGTATATTTGTTGGTCTTTAAGATGAAAGTTCATTGCTGTTTATCCGGAGTAACTGAAAGTTCTGGTCCCCAAACAACTTTATAGTACGTTCCAAATCAACAATTAAAGCAACAATAAAAAAAAGAAAATGCGTACTGTAATAAATGCGTCAGTCTTGAAAACAAAACTTCTGGACATATCCTAAGGATATCCTTGAGCTTTGAAGAATAAATAAACTAAAGTGCAAATTAACAAACTAAGTTCCTGGATTTTATGAGAAAGGGAAACAACATGCTCAGGAACTGGTAATCCTTTATGGGCTTTTCGCTGAAAGCAGAAAAAAATGAACTTACGATTCATTTTGGTGATTAGAAAGTGAAGAATATGGAAAGAAGGGAGCCACAATGGAAGCTTAGAGAGATTGGATAAAATGTAAATGCATTTATGACTTTTGTAAAAAATAAAATAAAATTAGAAGCCTATATATACAGGTAGTCCTTGACTTACAGCTACAACTGAACCCAACAGTTCTGTTGCTAAGCAAGGTAGTTGTTAAGTGAGTTTGTCCCATTTTATGACCTTCCTTACCACAATTGTTAAGTCAATCGCTGCAGTTATTAGTAACACGGTTGTTAAGTGAATTTGGCTTCCCCGTCAACTTTGCTTGACAGAAGTTTGTAAAAGGTGATCACACATGACCCCAGGACACTTGAACCGTCATTAATATAAGCCAGTTGTCAAGTGTCCAAATTTTGGTCACTTGACTGTGGAGATATTGCAACGGTCGTAAGTGTGAAAAATGGTCATAAGTCACTTTTTCCAGTGCCGTCGTAACTTCAAATGCTCACTAAATGAATGCTTATATGTCAAGGACTACCTGTTTTGTTCTTTCTCTGATTTTTCTTTTTTTCTCTTCTTATTTATTTATCACTTTTACGTTTAAACTTGTATTGTTTTTACTTTGCAAAAAAACCCCACCCTTTTTAAAAATGAAATTAATTAAAAAAGGAAAACATCATGATGACCAACGAATTTACCGGAATCCTGTACAACGTCCGATAGCGTGTCCTCATGGCCACAGTAGGACCACAGGAACAGCACTCGTCCATGTCTTTGGCAATTATGCAACCCAGGCAACAGTAGCAGAAGGCTCCACACAGACCTAGGGAAGTGATCAAAGAGAACTTATATTTATAATCTCAAGTGAAAGGAAAGCTTCTCTGCTTGTTCTTAGAACAGAATTCTCCAAGCTGGTGCTTCCAGAAGGGTGAAGACTACAAAATATGTAGACATGGCTAATAGCTCTAACCATGATGTCTCAGAATTGTCATCCCCACCCTTCCTGAGGACTCAACGTTTGAGAAGTTGTTTAGGAAGGCATATTTAGACTTTCATAATAGCCTCACATGAACCAGACATTTCCAACTGCATTGTGTCACTGTTTTCTAGATCAACGACGTGTTCGTGACTTAGAGCTCTTGCTTATGAATATATGGAATTATTACTTGTTAGCAAGAGGTAAGTCACACCAATGGGTGTGTCGCTTAAGAATTCCTACGTTGCAATCACCCATGAGAAGTTTTGCAAGCTATCATCCCACACTTCATCAGCAGGATGGGCCCTGCATTCTTCTTACATGGTGACTAGGTACTTCTGGGAATTAAGTTCACACATCTTAAAGTTGTGAAAGTTGAGAAACACTGATGAAGATGGATAGGCTCAGTTACAGAGGCTATGGGTACATTATTGGAAGGACCAAGTTGGAGACAGTTTTGCCCTGGAAAAAAACCTATTCATGTGGTTGCTTAAAACTGACACTCGCTTAATGACACATAATTAATCAATTAAACTTATTCTGGACTTCTGATTCCATCACACATTGACAGGTATTGAATGCAGAAAGTCTTTTTTGCTCACAGTTAAATTAATGCTTAAAGGAAGGACAATTCAAGAACAAAGCTACAAAAGAAGATTAAACCCCATCACGTAAGAATTCACTCACAGATGTTACAGTCATCGCCGCAGTCACAGAGTTCTGTCTGCCACTCAAAACTCCTTGTGGCACAGTGACGTTGTGGTTGAGTGACAATAGGTGACAACTCCATGGTACCACTTATGGCAAGATGCTCCAATCTAGCGTGACAAAGTAAACACCCATTAAAGATTTGGCAAAATGCAACTGGACATTTACCATGTCTCTTTCACCCAAATTTTCTGAATAAACTTAGTAGCTAGGATAGAGATGGCCAACTTGATGTCCCAGGATTGAAAACTGGCCTCTGAGATCTTTACTTGCAGCCTCTCCAGTACACAAAGTTCATACAGTGGGGGGCTTAGTGCCTCCTTTCCCCCATTTTTTAACATCCACATTTAACCATAGATAGAGAGATCATCCATCAGCATGCCATATAGTGATATGGCTGAACAGATTTACATTCCTAACACATGAAGAGATTCACCACATTAATTCTTCCTATCATGATTTTAGGAATAGGAGAGGATGCCCCTTGGTGAAGTTGTCAATTATCATGTTTCCTCTCTATTACTAAAATAATTTGAACTTCATTGACCTACTTCTAGAACTAGTCTCCCTGTCACAAGCTCTGTCTTTGATTTGGCTGAGTAAGAAAGACCCAGCTTCTTCATCTGAGTTCCTAATTTTTTCCCAAGTTTCTGCTTTTTTAGAGATGCTTTCTATTTTGTTGTTTTTGTTGAAGAGCACAGGACTGTCTTGTGAATAACTCGTGGGTCTCTGGAAAATGCAAAAACTGCTTAGCTTTACTGGCAATCTTATGAACTAGACAATCATGGAATACACCCAATTCTTTCTTGGTTGTTCCAAGTTGTTCCAAAAGATTGGAAACAGCAGATGAGATTGGCTACCACTCCAAATCCGTTTTGGAGGAATCCTTGATTATTCTCCATGGATATCTAGCATTTTCCCGGATGCAGAATGAAAATTACTAAGGGTATCTGGTTGCATGATAATTGTTGTTGTTTAGTCGCTAAGTTGTGTCCAACTCTTTGTGACCCAATGGACCATCAGCACACCAGCCCCCCATCCTCCGCTGTCTCCCTGAGTCTGCCCAGACCCATGTTCCCCACATTATCTAACCATCTCTTCCTTTCTTGTCCTCTTCTCCTTTTGCCTTCCATTTTTCCCAATATCAGGGTCTTTGCCAAGGATTCCTCTTCTCATTTGGTGGCCAAATTATTTGAGCTTCAGCTTCAGTTGCACGATAGATATTAATTTAATGTAAGCTTTACAAAATCTTCTGTGTCTTCAAAATACAACCGTATTGTCACTCCTGCTTTGTGAATATTTGAACCATTGGTCTGAAAGGCCAATACAAAGTTCCTTAGAGCTGGCTCCAGGCCACCTATCTATCAGTCTACTGAATTGGACAACTTTGAGTGCTATAGTCCAAACCATCAGGTAGTCACCAGGTTGGGAAAGACTGTTGTCAGTGATTGTAGTTGTGTAGCTCCCGATTTGCCTCATTTCATTTATTTTGCCATTGGATTTCAACATGCAAAGTGTTGAGTAAGTGTGATTATTACAGGGTATTTGGTCTGTCTCTGGCTAGTGATCACACTGAGTTTCCAGGAGCCAATAGCTGCAGGGGGTAAAATTCTTTTTCCTTGTCAGGAAGAGATGAAGAGTAAGATTTTTTTAAAAAAAAATCTAACAGTTATCTGTTGAGTCATTGCTGGTTAACAGAGAAAAATATCAACTCTCATTTTTTAAGCTATCACTTCCTAGTAAACGTGGGAAAAAGCAGCAGGAATGACATTTTAGTGAAAAGACCTAGATCTGCTGCATATTTTTTCCTCTTGGGAAAAATGGAATTATTCTCTACCATATTTGCCTAGACTGAAAAAATAGATGTACTAACTGCATTTAAATACATTTTACTAAATTGTTTTTTTGAGGTCAAGACTCTTGAGTGCTGACAACACTCATTCTGAACTTTTGTTTTTCTGACAGCAGATTAACATTTCTGGGCAGTGTGCCTGCTTTAAATTTCTTCATTTTTTATTTTCAGAATTTCATTAAGCTTTTGGAATAGTTTTGTTGGTTTTTTTCGGCTCACCTTCATGCTTTTTCCTTCCTGAGACTTATATTTATTACTCTTTATTTAGAAACATCTACTCATGCAGATGTCTTTTTCCAATTAGCTTTTCCTGTTGTGGAATTCTACTTATCACTGTTCTGACCTTATTAAATTCTTCTTTAAGAGCAGCGCCCTATCTTGAGAGAATTAAACTGTGATGCAAAAAAAGTACCCATGGTTATCTTGATTGCCCTCTTGCTGATGAAGCAAATGGAGTTAGGAATTGATAAAGGAGAATATTTGTCATTCAGGATTGAAATGAGAGATCCTTGGTGTTTTCTGAGCTTGGTTGTTTCCTTGCAGACATTTCATTACTAAACTAGGCAACATCATCAGTGCTAGTAAGGAATAGGGTTTGCTCTCAATTTATATTATGAGTTAGGAGTTTTTCCATCATCATTTCCCCAAGATAATATCGGGGAGAAAAATTGTTTGAATAGTCCAATGTACCTATACTTCCAGAGTAAGTCCTTCATTAACTTTGAACTCATCTTAACAATGAAATTTTACTCCAAAATTGTTATCTAATGGACAAGCAATTCTGTTCTAGTGGACACATCTTAATTTTTTTCCCAACATTTATCTCAAAAGCAACCCCAACACTAAATTTTTACTTATACTTCTTAAAAGAAATAAGGCATCAATGTGTTGCAGTGTTTGGTGCCTCATAGTTGTAGTGTATCAAGTACAATTTTTTTTTTAGCTACAGGAGAATATATATCTTAGGTAATTAATACATGAAATGTTACATGGAATTTCTGGAGAAGAAATGGTGGCGTGAAGGCAGCTCTGTAGAATGAAGAGCTGATGAGTAGCTAATTCCTCTCCAGATAAGGAAAGGACTTGAGATTACCCACAAGTGCTCCAGAAAGTTGCTGATCATGAAGAGACCACAAGAGAGTGTTTTAATGTTCTGGGAAAAGGGGGAGTAGGCATTTTGCTCAAATCTTGGTTGTGTCAAGAATGTCAAGAATGCCAATAAAGTGGCGGGGGGAGGTGTTGCCTTCGAATGGGTTAGTTAGAGAAACGAAACCTCTCCAGTTCTACGGAATCTTGCTGAGAGTCGGGAGTCTGGAAAACTTTCAAGGACATTCTAGCAAGTGTGAAGAAGATAGCAGATAGTTATAACATAACAAAGAGAATTTGTTTACATGAGCTACGTGGACACCTGGGGGTTTGGCTGGGAAAGTCACTGATATATGCTACGGTCTAATGCCTTGGGATTTTAGAGTTAGTTTACCTTGCCATAACCATGCTATGTGTTCAATAAACAGTAAGCTTTTCAGAAATAAAATGATCCTGGATTTTTATTTGGATACTTCAAGCTGGATGTTGACCGGTTGACGTTTTGGAAAGTTTGTGTACTTCCTTTTCTAATAATTTTCAGAAATAGCTTGTTAATTCCTTTTTAGTTATTTGGATCAACATATTTTACAGCATTGGGTGAGTTTCTCTCAATCTTTAGCCAAAGAAGTTTTAACTACAAGTTTAAGAACTTTATTTTTTTTTATTAACCAGTAAAACAGTGATTAAAACTTTGATTTTAGAAAGTTACACATGGACTAAAGATCCAGATAAATTGAAATAGGATGTTGGAATTGCTTGAAAAGAATTCTTCCCATGGGAAAGTGCATTTTTTTTAATTCTTTTAAATCAGTGCTGATCTAATCTTTTAGATTATCACTGATCATCCATGATGTTATCTACACTAGTTGGCTAATTGAACATCTGTAAACAAACAACCAAGAGATAACCATGGACCCCACAGTTCAATCCTGAGCTACAGATATTCCCTTCTATTTGTTCTTGCTGTTTGAAGGACTGTCCCACAAAATTAGCACAAACATGTCTTCCATTTGATGATGGAATTTGCATTACATTTCTACTAAAATTATCTTCTGTATTTCTAAATCCACACCCATGCATTTAAAATGGCATATGGAGATTTGATGCAGATCTTGTTTTTGTTGGTCAGGTTTTTTGCTAATGACTTTTTTTCTTTTCCAAGGATGATAGTAAATATTCATCACCCTACGCTCTCATCATTAGTACCAAACAGAAATCGCCACTCAGACAACAGTGAAGATATTTAATTCCCACCGATTTCAACCGAGGGTTAAGCAGACACTTATATCATGTTGAAATCAGTGGGAATTAAAGCACTTAATGTCGGTCCCAAAGGTGCTTTTTAAAAAGGCAACTGGACTTTGTTTTTTTCTTGAAGACATTTCACTTCTCATCCAAGAAGCTTCTTCAGTTCTGACTGAATGATGGAGGATGGAAGGATTTATATTCCTTGCAGGCATCTGTTTTTTAGCACTCTTTGGGATAACCATGACCTGGATGACTGAGAATCTCCATAGACATAACTCCATAGGCAGTTATGAAATTATCTTGTTTAAATTTCTGGAAGTTGAGGTGGGATTTTGAGGTGGAAAACATGAGAACTGTACTGTAAATCCTCAAATAAACTTAATACAATTGAAATACACTCATGGGTGAATTCTCGCACATTTTACTTCTCACCCCAAAATAAAAAGAGAAAATCCTACACCTGTTTACACACATAATGCAGCCCTGTCTATTTTGTACCATTAATCAAACTGCTCTGATTTCTGCTTGGAATTCCTCTCCCTGTGTACTGGATGACACCCCCATTCAGCAAAGCCTTGTCCACCTCTCCATTAAACTATTTTATGAAAGAAGCCCAAGAAAGCCAGCACACAAATGTTTAAGCCAAGGTTGTTCAACATTTTGGATATCAGGAAGTTAAACACAATTCACAGGTAAGACAATGCTGATACATGTTTTGTCCTCGTGGTAACCTCCAGAGCTAGTTATTATTAAACGTTCGAACACAAGTAGATAAGCTCCAATTTGTGCCTACTCCCTGCCCTCTTGTTCTCAGTGGCAAGATTAAAAGGCTCAGCTTCAGATCATGAAGCAGAATTTGGAGGGTGGATACTCAGAGTTATGAAGCAAGCATACCGGCTTTTAAATAAGTCCCTATTGAATCTGGATCTACCATTCTCTAAGAAGTGCACCAAGGATCTGAATTAAGAGCCATTATATCATACAGCCAATGCTCCCCCATAAAATATCTTTCTGTAGACTTCTACCATATTTTTCAATATATACGTCGGCATATGCAGAAACAGAATAGAATAGGATAGAATAGGATACGAAAAGATAGAGTAGAAATAGAAATAGAAATAGAAATAGAAATAGAAATAGAAATAGAAATAGAAATAGAAATAGAAATAGAAATAGAAATAGAAATAGAAATAGAAATAGAAATAGAAATAATAGAAATAGAAATAGAAATAGAAATAGAAATAATAGAAGGGACCTTGGAGGTCTTCTAGTCCAGCCCCCTGCTCGAGCAGGAGAACCTATTCCAGGGGTAGGCAACCTTGGCTCTTTTATGACTCATGGACTTCAACTCCCAGAATTCCCGAGCCAGCCATGCTGAGGGGACAGGGAGAGATTTCCATGCTGAGCTATATTGGCTCAGGAATTCTGGGAGTTGAAGTCCACAAGTCATAAAAGAGCCAAGGTTGCCTACCCCTGACTTATACCATTTCAGACAAGTGAGTGTCCAGTCTCTTCTTAAAAATCTCCAGCAATGGAGCACACACAATTTCTGAAATTCTTGGGACATAATTTTACCAAGAGTATAACTTTACTGATAATCCATATAGGCACAGAGGAAGCAAAGGCAATTCTAAAGATTCCCACAGACAGCAGCATAGGTAAAATCCCTTCCCAACTCTCCCAAGGATTCCACCCTCTTCCTTCTGTTTCTGTTGTCAAGCTGCAAGAAGAATTGCAGGTGGTGATAGAATCCGAGTCAGCCTTGACAATATAAGAAAGTTGTAAGACCTTGCTTTTAACATGACTGCATTCAAATATACAATCGTTCTTGTCTCCATGGCACAGAGTGCAAAAAATTAAATTTGGAAATTTCCATCAGTTGAGTGTATGGACTCTCTGGTATCTTCATATACACAATTAAACATTCAAAATCACTAAGATAAAATAATTTCATTCACTCTCTATATTTGGGGCAAATTCATCTTCTGATGCACATTTGGAATACAGAAGATTAAAGATACATTTCAACAAAAAAAATGTCCTTGTTAGTGTTGAAGAATTAGCCATAACCAGCTCATTCATTTATGAAGCCCATGACTGAAAGCCCATAAACACCAACCTGGAAAAAATGCCTCTTAAATAAGGTTTACTTCTAAGTAAATCTGAGATTATTATAAAGTATCTCAAAACAGTTTGATTCAGGATTGTATGTTAATATTTATCAACAGAACAATTTCAAAAGTCTTGAAGGTTGTTGTCTAGAACTAACTTTCTGGTGGATTATTCCATTAGTTTCCCCAACCTATCCTACCTTTTAATTCATTACCTTCTTAGTATTTACCCAAATAAATTTAGAACTTTTGGAGTGATCAACTGGGGAAAAAAAACCCTTCATACATACCTTTCTGCTGTATTATCCCTCAAAGAGAAGTCTCTTTCTCTAAAGACAAGCTAACCTATATGTCACCTGCACATGAAAGAGGCAAAGATCCTTTGATGTGATGCTAAATCATGAAATGCTGCTTATATTTGGAGAAGATAATTGATGGTTACTTTAATTGATCTTAGCCTGATAATGCACAAAACAGTAATTAGTCCTGCATGACAAAATAGTAAATTAGATGTTGAGGTGATTCTCTCTTGCATAATGACAAAAATAGAATGGGTTGGTGTCACATTCACTGTGGTATTCCACACCAGCAATAATCTGTTCCTATATTTATAGATGTTTATCCTGCAGTTCTGCTATTGGGGAAAAAAACTAACTTTAAATTATTTTTAATCTGATAAATTTAACATTAAAATACATTGGTACGATTAATCTATTTTTAAATGCCCCCAAGGTAAGAATAGAAGTACACAAAACTAAACTGGAATACTCCCTTCCTGAAGAAATATAATCTACATATTCTCAGCAACTGACTTAAAAATATGGGTCAGCTTTGCTATATTGTGTCTCTACAGCTCCCTTACTAATGAACTAAAGTCATTAGTAAATGAGGCTTTATTGTTCTTGTGTTATTATTCTTGTAGAATGAGCAGTGGATCTCTGCAGGGCTTGGTCAAAGAAATCAAGATGGCAGCTGCAATGGTACAATAAAAATTCTGACACACATATTCATAACATCCTCCCTAGTTGAAAGCTGATTAATATAATGTGACAATACTAATTTCCCATCCCTTACAAGACAGGCCAAAAGAATTTTAAATTACTCAACTACTAAATTTATTTACAAATTGTTAGCCTGTCATCTGTATACCATATTAATAAAAAAAATAGTTAACAGGGACCAATATTTAACATGGAAAATCAATTTATGGGCTAAGGGAAATATTCCACTTTCAAAGTCAATTGTTGTTTGAAAAGTTCAGCCATAATGACAAAGATCTGATATCACCAAGGCACATTTTTAAAATATTTATTGCAAACCGCCTTCCAGCACTCATTTTTAATATAAACTTACGCTTAAGTCCATTCCACTTGTGTAAACTTTGGAAGATATATAAACCAAAGACAAATGAGTAGCCAGTTCTTATTACAAATAGTCCTCAACTTACAACTGGTTGGTTAGTGATAATTAGAAGTTACAATAGATCCACCCCCCCAAAAAAAGTTATAACCCAGTTCCAAAAGTTCTGATGGCCATCCCCCGATGACTACATTTTGGGCGATCAACAACAGGTCTGAATTTATGATTGCAGTTTCCCATGGTCACATGACTGCAATTTACAATTTTTTTTGCCAAACACCAGTAATTTCTTCTGATTTTCTGCAAAAAAAAAAAGGGCCCTAGTGCAGCGGTTCTCAACCTATGGGTTAGGACCCCATTTGGGGTCGATCGACTATTTCACGGGGGTCGCCAAGCAAGGCTGTCCGCCATTTTTTCCCCCTTTTCCGGCGGGTGCCTTACCTCCCTTGGGCTGGGCCAGCTGGTGGTCGGCCTGCTCCGTCTCTGCCGCTTGCCAGCTACGCCTCGGCCGGCGCAGGGGGCGGAACCACGCATGCATGGCACTCCCGGGCAGGGAAAGTCCTCGACTTACGACCGGTTGGGTAGTCCTCGACTTACGACTGGTTTATTTATTTTATTTATTTATTTAATTACATTTATATCCTGCCCTTCTCCTTGCGGACTCAGGGCGGCTAACAATTGGATAAAATACAAACATACAATACACCTATTAAAATTAATTAAAAAGAAATATTTAAACTAATCTGATTAAAAGTAATTAAAACCCCTTTAAAATCCCTTAGGCCAGTCCCGCAAGCTGGAACAACCATGTCTTGAGGGCGTGGCGGAAGGAAGGGAGATCAGGGATCACCCTGATCTCTGGGGGCAGTTCGTTCCAGAGGGTGGGAGCTCCCACAGAGAAGGCCCTC